GGGCGGGCGGCGCTCGGAGCCGCCGCCGGGGGCGGCCGGGCCGGAGGGGCCGCGGAGCCCGGGGAGCGCGGGGAGCCGGGCGGCGGCCGGCAAGGCTGGCGCGGAGAGTCGCGGGGCTCGCCGCAGCAGCTGGCGGAGCGGTACGCGGATCTGGCGGCCAGCCACAGCGAGGCGCTGCGGCAGCGGGAGGAGCGCGAGTGGCACAACGCGCGGCTGCGCCAGGAGAACGTGCGGCTGCGGCTGGAGAACCGCCGCCTGCGCCGCGAGAACCGCTGCCTCTTCCGACAGGCCCTGCTGGGGCCCGGCCCTGACAAGCCCCCTGTCGAGCCGGGCGAAGAGGCGGAGGCCCTGCGCGCCCAGCTGGCGCGGCTGCAGGAGAAGCACCGCCGGGCCCTGCGGCACCTGCGGCGCTGCCGGGCCGCCGGCGGGCAGGAGGCCTCGGTAGCCGAGGACGGCGAGTTGGATGAGCTGCTGTTGGAGGAGGACGAACAGTCGCTGGATAAGAAGAGCCTGGTGCCGCCCGTGTAGGCGGCCCGGGGGGAGGGGGCGGTGTTGCTGGGCCCTGCGAGCCCTCCCTGCCCGCTCGCCCTCTTGCCTGTGCCCCCCTGCCCGCCCGCCCGCCCTCAGTCGAAACAGGCCCTTCCCAGAGGAAAGATGGGGAGGAGTTCGAGTTTCTTAATCGTTTTTCCTGATGTATATCCAGGAAGCATTGAGCGTGATCGAGGAGAACCGGGTTCATCTGGGAAACCGATGCTTGGAAGACGAGAGGAATGCCTCAAAGCAGCTGTTGTTATGGAGAAAAAAACCGCGCTGAAGAGAACAGATGATCTCGTGTCATCTCACAGCACTGAACTGTGCTTCCTTTGGGGACCAGCTGTGGATCACCTTCTCTGAGTTAGTGACTGTCATGTAGGCTTCAAGAGCCATGGAGACTGGCTAGTTCTTAGTAGTCTCTGTTTGTTAGGAAGGAAGGTGGAAACCTTGTCACTACTCTGGTAGAAGTTGGTGATTATTTGAACTATGAATTGCCTTGGACACTGGCTGCAAAACATTATTTGTATTTTTAATGATGGACCTTGTTCACTATCACATGACTATTGATTTGAATTTCACATTTTCACACAAAACTGCAGCTGATAAATAAAATTATGACACACCAAATGACTGTCCTGAGTGTGATTTTTAACAGAGAGTTTTTATTGGTTTTGTCATTTAAAGGCTTTCTGATGCCTTCAAGTTTGAGATTGGTTTCTTAAAGCTCTAATAGCCAAGGTCTGTTTCAGCTTATAGTTAAAACTAATGTAAAAAGATGAAATTTCATCATTTGAGAAAAGTAGTTATTTCTTCACATAATGTCAGCATAAGCCTCCAATGATAAAATGACTGTAGTGCTTGTTAAGTATGTGGATCTGCAGCCTCAAGTGCATTCTCAAAATGGAAAAACAATTTGGCACAGAGCAGTCGATTACCTCCTTAATGAGAAAGTGGTTGGTTGTTTTATATTGTTTTATAAACAAATATTCTCATGAATATTTGCTAAGTGCTCAAGAACTACAGTTCCAGTCCAACAGGATTGTTCTTACTTTATTAGCAGTTTCCGGTAAAATGTGAATACCCAAGCAACAAAAATAATCTGTCAAAATAGGGTGACATAGGACTTATGGAGATACTTAAAAACATGATTGTGTCAGGCATCTTTTTCAAGAGTTACAAGTATTGACCACATGCAAAAGAGATCCTGGACTTTTCTGATAGCATATGCAAATTTTTTTAACTAAAATTCTGGGACACTTGCATTAAATGGAGTTTTTTTGTAAGAGTACTACACATGCAGGTTTGTATAAAGGATTCTTTTTTTTCCTATATCTTGGCAAATTATAAAACAAATTTGCAGGTTATAAAATACGGGGGGGTGAAGTGTTTCAGTAAGATTCAAATTATTATAAAGAGTACCAAAAAAAAAAGATTTAAGGTATTTCCTCACATTGCAGTAAATAATTCCTTCATTCAGTCAAGCTGTGAAAGTTTCATTTAACCAATCATCTGATCTGGTTGTTATGTGTTTGTTTTTGAGAGCAAAATGTAAATTTAGGAGAAGTCTTTAGTGAGATGGTGCAAAAAGTAATATTTCACTACACTGTCCTCCAAGCAATGGTTTGCAGATGGTGGCTTTTCTTCATGACACACTTCCATGATCCTTGGCTACAGGAAATGACAAATACTGAGACTTACAGGAAAGGTAAATATCCCTTGGGATATAACTGTTCATGCATCACGTCTGGATTTGTCTATTTGACTAGATCTAACAATTAGTAGTTTGATATCACAGGCATGTTCAGCCAAACCCCCTTAAGTTGATGTTTGGTAGAAAACAGCATATCTTTGGAATTGCCTGATACATTATAGCATCTATATGTCTGAAGTGCTGGGAGTAGTGCTACTACAGTTGTGCGAAGAGCTACTTTTGGTTAAGGTGTGTTTCATTTTCTATTGTTGTGTTTTCTGTCCAATAAACAGTCAAATCTTGAAGGTCCAGACTTCACTTCTTTCTCCCAAATCTCATCTTTAGTTCTGCTTATCACATTCTGGACTAAGGATAACTATTTGTCCTCTTTTTGTTCTGACTGTTGTGGTAGTGTCTCCCATATTTCACTGTCTTGCTGTGTTGAGCCTTTCGTCCTCTGGCCTGCCTGAATGCTGCATCCCTGGATTTGAGAGAGAGTGCATTACAGAACAAAATTTGTACAATAAACTAAACAAGCAGAACTCAGAACCATGCTGTCCTGTTGTCTTTTTCTTTTTTTTTAATAATTTTGTCTCTTTTCTTCAAAATAATTCCAGTTGTATACTGATCATTTTCAAAACTCTGAATTTCAAAACTGCATGGTTTTTTGTGGTTTTGATTCTAGGGTTTAAGTACCTATGTCTGCATAGTTTTTTAGATAACAGGAAAACAAACTTTGTTTTGCTGACACCAGTTTCTGAATACAGGTGGATTATTTTCCTGTTTGAAAATGGTTTTGCTTATCATTAACTTTTACTGCATAGTATTTCGTTTTACACTGAATCAGAGTCCTGAATGGGAGTGATTTTGTAGAGTAGATGTGCTTGGCTAAAAAACAGGTAAGTTTTTTATTAGAGAATGGTCTGAATTCAGGTTTGGATTTGATGTTTACATGTTTTGCTTTTTGTTCAGTTTTGTTTATTTTTTTCCTTACATAAATACATAGAAATATAACAATATATAAAATATTAGGCAATAATACCTTCCTATGATTTTGTTAAATTGCAGTGTTTAAAATCTCAGTACGTAGTCTCTTAACTTGTTTTGGCATATATAAATTCACAGAGGCAAACAGAAGCAAAAATATTCATTGATAACAATGAAGTGAAAGGCTACAATAAAATTATTTTCTTTTCTTTCATAAGGAAGTGTTCAGTCTTAGCTACAGCCTTTTCCTTACCCTTCTGTCCTGTGCCTCATGTTAGGAGGTTATTATGAAATACATGTTAAAAAGAAAGCTATATGTGTGGAAGCTATATTAAAACTGTATTAAAATCTTCTGGGTCCATGTGTGAATTTGATGACAATTACTTGAAAACACATATATGTGAATGGAATGGTTCAATGTTGGTGCCATATTTCATATAGATTCTATTGCTCTTTTGGGGCCTAATTTAAGTTTCATTAAATATTGCACTCTGAAGGAGTCTTTGTCTGCTGTGCTCATCTCCTTGAATGTGTTAGGACCTTGCGGTGCTTTAGCTGCCCGCAGAGAATAACAAAATAAATGTCTTTGTATGATAACATAATGCCATTCAGCTACTTTCCTACCAAAGTAGTCATCTGTTACTCCTCCCTTTCCATCTATCTCGCTGTGCTCAGTATCCCCTTCTAAGTTTGTTCAGTTCAGTAAACACATTTGCAAGATGTATAGAAAGCCTCTGTTCCAGACTTGCAAATGATTTAAAGTAGTGGTTTAAAGCTGAATTTTTAGTGATCACAAATCAACAAGGCCTTTCCTGTATATTTTTAAGCGATAACTGGTATCTGTATTATTATACTGGGAAATATAGGTGTAGCTGCCCTGGGAACATTGTTCTGTGGAATATACAGATTGCATTTACTACCACATCCCTTCGGAAATAAAACCCTGTATCATTCAGAGAAAAATAGCAGCATCCGATTATAAAGATCTTTTTAAAAAAGCTTGTAACTGGTATTATTTCATAACTTTCAAGCCATTTGTTTGCTCTTTGTTCTGTCAAAAGCATTCTTTGTACAATCAGAATGTAGTTGTAGCAGAAAAAAAGATAAAAGGCATTACATTTAGAGGGCATAAAGAGGCTGATTTAGATCTAGCTTTATAGGAGGGATTATGGTATAAAGCTGGGAAGATGGGAAAATTGGTTGGATAATCCAGAGAAAGGGAACATTTTTAGAGAATTATTGAGGAAAGATGCGACCATCAAATAACAGCTAATGGAATTATTATATCCATATATATTGATGTATTTTTAATGAATAAAAATATTGAATGCAAAGTTTGGATAAAGTAAAAGATTAGCATTGAGAAAAAATTCAACTGTGTCATGCACTGGCATGTCTTTGAAGTGAGGGCAAGCTTTGGAGAGCTGCTCTACAAACAATCCTTAGCCCCTGCTGAGATTATTAGCAGTGGTGCTCATTAAGGTTAATTTATTTCATGTGAAAATTTCTGAGGGCTAAAAGATTGAGCATCTCCCTTGTATAAATGCTGCAGAATTTTCAATGACTTCAGGTGCTTCTCATGGTGTTTGCAATCTATCATCTAGACGAGTATAACTCTTAACCACCCTGTGCGGTATTGGTTCAATAACAGAGGAATGAGCCACCATCAGTGAGCGGCATCCAGGTGCTGTGCTTTGACAAACTCACTTCTAAGAGCCTGACCCAATCTAATGCTGATTAGCGTGTGAGAGCTCAGGGCATAGCCAGAGGTGAGGCGGCTGCAAAGTGATGACTGCCTACAAAAATACAGGGCTACTGGAATAACTGTGTTAGTGCATGAATTATAATTACTTAGCTGCGTCTGTCTTTCTTCTCCTTATTAAGTACATGATAATGTTGTCTATTCTGTGGTCAGAACCACGTCTGTCTAGACGTCCGTTAGTTGTTTCTTCATGTTGAAGTTGGTTAAATCATTCTACTTAGCTACCAGAAAGCCTCAGTCCCAGCTGTAGCTTTTATGACCTATAATTTTGAATTTTGTATTGCTTTTCATTCAGAAGTGATGGTTTGGGTTTTTTTGGCTTTTTTTTTTAATTTATCAAAAATCTTACCTTGCTTTTACACTTCAAGAGAATTTTGCTGCACTGCACTAGTGAGAAAGAGGCATTTCAGGGTGTGTGCTGTTAAATTATTTGGAATCATAGCAGTGTACTTGACATGTTTTCCCAAAGACTTAAAGTCCATAAGTAAGATGCAAAAAAAGCAGAAGTTTTCAAATAAATCCTATGGAAGATTTTGCTTTTCTTCTGGTTTTAGGTTTTTTTTTAGTGATATAAGAACTATCACTTCAACAACAGTTAAATATTTTATTACTCTGCATGGTAAATGTAAGTAACTGGATATACTTAAGGGCTCTGGCACATAAAATCAAAAATAAGGCACTAAAAGCACCACTGATGCTCAGAAATCTGAATATAAATCCTTACTTCACAAAGCAGTCCTGGAAGACTCTCTTCCTTTGTCAGAGAAAGGTTTTGCCTATTTTACTTTTTAAGCCTCTGGTTGATGTGAAAGAAACAGCTGCAAAAACAGTATAAAAGTCAAATTTGACCCTGTATGTTTGAGTCGTGTATGGCAGTGCTGAAAAGAGCATGAGCAATTGGAGGAGTGTGCATGAAAAGCTGCTCATCTCCTGGATGTGAGTAGATGTGCTTGGCTAAATTTTAATAGTCTTTGACTTGGATGACACCTGAAGAGGGGATGAAGTGAGGGGCTTCAGCTGTCAGTCAACACTGTTGCTAGCCTTTTCTTGGTAGTACCAGACAAGCTTTTGTTTGTGTTTTCTGCCTGAGAGAGTTTTATTTCAGCTTTTATCTGAAGAAGCTTTTATGTTCTCTGGGGGCATTTCTCCATGTCCTCAGTAGCTACTGCTCAGGGCAAAATGAAGACTCTT